AAAAAGGACATAAATTTCATTTGGGTGCAGCGTTGCATGACCGCGCAATTGTCAGTTAAAGCCACGCAGAGCGGTATCACAAAAAAAATGGCCTGGTCAGGAAGGGGGGTAAATCCTCAGGAGGGCAAGTGGTTAATAGCAAAAAGTCAAAAATATTGTTTTTATCTCAAAATTGTCGGTCTTTTTTTGTTTATAGCGCAAAAAAAATTAGAAACGCAGAGGTGATCAATGCCACCGAAAGAAAGCTCAATTTGTTGGAAAAAAAGGATGTATATTTCATTTGGGTGCCGCTTTGCACGACTGTGCAATTTTCAGCTAAAGTAACACAGCACCGTATCGCAAAAAATGGCCTGGTCAGGAAAGAGGGGAAATCCTTTGGAGGACAAGTGGTTGATGGCAAAAAGTCAAAAATATATATATTTTTTTTTTCTCAAAATTGTTGGTCTTTTTGTTTATTATAGCGCAAAAAAATAAAAAACGCACAGATCATATACCACCGAAAGAAAGCTCTATTTGTGGGAAAAAAAGGGAAGTAAATGTCATTTTGGTCATTTCGGTTTGCATGACCGCGCAATTGTCAACTAAAGTAATTCAGCGCCGTATCGCAAAAACAAAGTCAAAAGTGTTTTTCCTCAAAATTTTTGGTCTTTTTGTTTATCATGGCGCAAAAAAATAAAAAACGCACAGGAGATCAAATACCACCGAAAGAAAGCTCTATTTGTGGGGAAGAAAAGGACGTAAATTTCATTTGGGTGCAACATTGCATGACCGCGCAATTGTCAGTTAAAGTAACGCAGCGCCGTAACCAGGGGTGGACTGACAAATCATGGGGCCCCCCAGACAATAGGGGATCATGGGGCCCCTGTGTCCTCGCCCACACCCAAAAAAGCCTATGAAACAGCCAATGAAAGGTACCAGGGGCATCTCATGGGGCCCCCTACTGACCCCGGGCCCTCGGGCAGTGCCTGGGTGCTCGAATGGTCAGTCCGCCTCTGGCCGTAACACAAAAAATGGCCTGGTCAAGAAGGGGGGGTAAATCCTCTGGAGGGCAAGTGGTTAATAGCAAAAAGTCAAAAATATTGTTTTAACTCAAAATTGTTGGTCTTTTTTTTATTTGTAGCGCAAAAAATAAACAACGCACAGGCGAACAAATACCACCAAAAGAAAGCTCTATTTGTGGGGAAAAAAGGGACGTAAATTTAATTTGGGTGCAGCATTGCATGACCAGGCAATTGTCAGTTAAAATAACGCAGCGCCGTATCATAAAAAACGGCCTGGTCAGGAAGATAAGTAAATCCTCAGGAGGACAGCAAAAAGTTAAAAATATTGTATTTATCTCAAAATTGTTGGTCTTTTTTTTTTTATTATAGCGCAGAAAATAAAAAATGCACAGGCGATCAAATACCACCAAGAGAAAGCTCTATTTGTGGGAAAAAAGGATGTAAAGTTAATTTGGGTGCAGATTTGCACGACCGCGCAGTTGTCAGTTAAAGTAATTCATCGCGTATTGCAAAAAAAAAAAAAAAAGCCAACAATTTTGAGACAAAAACAATATTTTTAACTTTTTGCTACTAACCCCTTGCCCTTCTGAGGATTTACCTGCCCTTCCTGACCAGGCCATTTTTTGCGATACGGCGCTGAGTTAATTTAACTGACAATTGCGCGGTCATGCAACTCTCCACCCAAATGAGATTTACATCCTTTTTTCCACAAATAAAGCTTTCTTTCGGTGGTATTTGATCGCATGTGCAGGTTTTTATTTTTTGCGTTGCATGACCGTGCAATTGTCAGTTAAAGTAATGCAGCGCCGTATCGCAAAAATTGGCCTGGTCAGGAAGGGGGGGGGGGGGGGGGGGGGGGGGGGGGAAATCCTCTGGAGGACAAGTAAAAAAAAAAAGCCTTTAGAATCACTTTACATACACTAGTAGAACTTTATTTGAAATTTTTCATTTAAAGAACATTCATTCAATTTTCTAATCGTTAGTGGAGTCAAATCAACATTAGTTTTCTATGCAAAAAATCACCAGCGCCAAAAAAACATGAAATAATTCCTAAATAAATGCTGCTGCTCATTACTGTAAACACCAAAAAAAAATTAAAACATCAGACAGTGCAAATAAAATACAATAAGTATTAAAATAAAGAAATAAACCAAAAAAGACTTATAATACATAAAAATAAAAAAAAAATATAAAAAATTATATAAATTAAATAGAATAGTCCCACTCCAAATTATTAGGATGAATAAGGTGAATAAAATATAGTTGAAAAGTCCTTCTCCAAAAGACCTTAGACCCACGTTGACACCGTGTTAGCGCTCAGATTACATACCGCACTCAACCAGATATTGGTAAAAAAAAATGCCCTTTTTGTTTTTTTTTTTCTCTTTTGTTCCTCTTTCAAAATTACTGTTTGTATATATATATATGTGTGTGTGAAAACCAATAACAACTGTTAATTAAAATAAAAAAAAATATTAAAAGAAAGAAATAATCCAAAAAAGACTTACAATACATCTGTTGCTGACTGAGAGATCCAAAAAAATCTTGGTGATGTGGCGTTTTGGCTCCATTTAAAACAATAAAATGCTGATTATATCTTTTGAAAATGTGAGTGGTTTGGTATTTGAAAATTGATCCTGTCCGAGTTTTGCAGTATTACACTATAAATATTTTTTTTTTCTCTGCATCAATCATCTCCTTACTGGCGAGTGATTTCTGTTGATCCTGGAGGTTGAAGGTTGGTTTATATTACGTTTTGGAGGTCTAAGGCTTATATCCTACCTGTAGTGGGGAGAAGTCCATCAAGGATCGAGGGTCTTTTGGAGAAGGATTTTTCAACTATATTTTATTCACCTTATTCATCCTAATAATTTGGAGTGGGACTATTCTATTTAATTTATATAATTTTTTAGATATTTTTTTTTTTTTTATGTATTATAAGTCTTTTGTGGATTATTTCTTTCTTTTTCTTTTCTTTTTTTGATTAACAGTTGTTATTGGTTTTCACACACACACACATATATACATATATATACATACAAACAGCAATTTTCAAAGAGGAACAAAAGAGAAAAAAAAAAACCAAAAAAGGCATTTTTTTCACCAATATCTGGTGAGTGCGGTATGTGATCTGAGCGCTAACACGGTGTCAACACAGGTCAAGGGTCTTTTGTAGAAGGACTTTTCAACTATACTTTATTCATCCTAATAATTTGAAGTGGGACTATTCTATTTAATTTATATAATTTGTTTATATATTTTTTATTTTTATGTATTCTAAGTCTTTTTTGGATTATTTCTTTCTTTTAATATTTTTTTTATTTTGATTAACAGTTGTTATTGATTTTCACATTATATATATATATATATATATATATATATATATATATACACACACACAAATAGTAATTTTGAAAGAGGAACAAAAGAGAAAAAAAAACAAAAAAGGCATTTTTTTCACCAATATCTGGTGAGTGCGGTATGTGATCTGAGCACTAACACGGTGTCAACACGGGTCAAGGGTCTTTTGGAGACGGGCTTTTCAACTATATTTTATTCACCTTATTCATCCTAATAATTTGGAGTGGGACCATTTAATTTATTTAATTTTTTTTAATATATATTTTTTATTTTTATGTATTATAAATCTTTTTTGGATTATTTTTCTTTTAATTTTTTTTTTGATTAACAGTTGTTATTGGTTTTTTATATATATATATATATATATATATATATATATATATATATATATATATACAAACAGTAATTTGAAAGAGGAAAAAAAGAAAAAAAAATGCGTTTTTTTTTCACCAATATCTGGTGAGTGCGGTATGTGATCTGAGCGCTAACACGGTGTCAGCGCAGGTCAAGGGTCTTTTGGAGACGGGTTTTTCAACTATATTTTATTCACCTTATTCATCCTAATAATTTGGAGTGGGACTATTCTATTTAATTTATATAATTTTTAATATATTTTTTATTTTTATATATTATAAGTCTTTTTTGGATTGATTATTTTTCAATTTTTTTTTTTGATTAATAGTTGTTATTGGTTTTCACACATATATATATATATATATATATATATATATATATATATACATACAAACAAACAGCAATTTTGAAATAGGAACAAAAGAGAAAAAAAAACAAAAAGGCATTTTTTTCACCAATATCTCGTGAGTGCGGTATGTGATCTGAGCACTAACACGGGTCAAGGGTCTTTTGAAGACGGGCTTTTCAACTATACTTTATTCACCTTACACATCCTAATAATTTAGAGTGGGACTATTCTATTTAATTTATATAATTTTTTATTTTTATGTATTATAAGTCTTTTTGGATTATTTCTTTCTTTTCATTATTTTTTTTTTATTAACAGTTTTTTATTGGTTTTCACACACACACACACACACACATATATATATATATATATATACAAACAGCAATTTTGAAAGAGGAACAAAAGAGAAACAAAAAAGAAAGAAATAATCATCGATGATTCTTTTAATATTTACAACATTCGTTTTCGAAAATTCAGAGCAGTGGGATGAAAATTTTTTCTAAACAAATTTTTTTTCATTCCAAAATTGAATGTTAAAAGCAAATAAAATTGTAAAGTGCTTTGCAACGAGATTGGTCAAGTCATTGAATGCACCAAGACTCTTTGTACAGGCAGAAAATATAGGCATTACCCTGACAGCACCTTGGTTATAGAATGGTCTCCTATTAGCACTGAATTCATGAAGGAGACAGAACATCCTCAAAGCCCAACACTCAGCCCGACAGGGAGAAAATACAAGTAGATAATCAAACATCAAGTAATCTCCAAGAAGTAAGGCTGCCCCGGCATAACAATTCAAGGTGACAAACCAGCAGAAGACTTTACAGATCGCGGTGCCAGGCGTTCTCAAGCGTCGCTTGCATGTCCAGTATGTATTATACCCGCTATATTTTAGGACTCTTTAAAGTGCGTTTTAATATCAGCTGGAAGCTCACCTTCATTTATTATCTTCTTGGCTGCCACAGAGGATGACAGGTGAATGGGTTCCATAAAGATACTCTCCGTATAGGCACTGGAAATGGTAGAAAAGCTGCAAATAGAAATGTAAAATTAAAGCCTATCAGTCACGTTTCCATCAGTCACATCCTAGATGTCAGAGTATTTATTGCGTGTTACTCCGAACACATAAAGAACTCACAAAAAAAAAAAAAAAAAAAAGAAAAGTACCCCCTAAAGCAAATCTCTGCACTACAAAGATATATGAAAAATAAACTTTTTAATAAATCGCCAATTGTAAAACATCCCACAGGTATGACCCACAGAAAAAGAAAAAAGTACCCCCTACAGCAGGGGTGGGCAACTGTGGCCCTCCAGCTGGTGTAGAACTACAAGTCCCATGAGGCATTGCAAAACGGGCAGTTACAAGCATGACTCCCAAAGGCAGAGGCATGATGGGACTTGTAGTTCACCAACAGCTGGAGGGCCACAGTTGCCCACCCCTGCCCTAAAGCCAATCCCTGCACCACAAAGATATATGAAAGGTAAGCTTTGTAATAAATCGCCACTTGTAAAACATCCCAAGGGTATGACCCACAGAATAGAAACATTTAAAAAAATACAACCCCCCCCCCACAAAAAAAAAGTATCAATATAATAGTCCCTATCAGGGGCGGACTGACAACTCATGGGGCCCCTGGGCAATAGGGGATCATGGAGCCCCTGTGTCCTTGCCCACACTCAAAAAAGCCACTAGGGGCATCTCATGGGGCCCCCTACTGACCGCGGGCCCTCGGGCAGTGCCCGAGTTTTCAAATGGTCAGTCTGCCCCTGCTGTGGTATCATGTGATGAGGAAGGTGGGGGGGGCAGCACAAGGATATTGAGGGAGGGGATTTGTGTTTTTGAGGGGAAATTTGGGGGGTGGCAGGGGGTAAGAAATTTTTCTCGAAGGGTAGGTGCTATGAGTGGTGATTTGGGGGGATTTGTGTTGGGAGGAGGATTTGCACTAGGAGAAGGGATTTGGGGGGTTTGTACTAGAAGAAATGATATGTTAGAGGGGGAGGGGATTTGCACTACGGGGGGAATTTTAATTTCATCATGGAGCCCCTGTGTCCTTGCCCACACTCAAAAAAGCTACTAGGGGCATCTCATGGGGCCCCCTACTGACCCCGGGCCCTCGGGCAGTTTCCAAATGGTCAGTCCGCCCCTGGTCCCTTTATAATTAGATCTACAGTATCCGTAAACTCAAAATGAGCCTCGAGTGACACCAACCCAGGTCAATAAACCACATAAATGATAGTAAAACTAACCAAATAAAGCAAATGTATAAATGTAGTACAAAAATATAGAAAAATGTGACCAATACAACCAATGATCTATAGAAACTTAGAAATAAATATTTATGGAAAACGTCATTTCCCGGCACTCTCTGTTCCCGCAGCGCTGAATGTTCTCCATCTTACACTTTGAAGTGTGTCTTCTTTTCCTTTGGGATTTTGCATCTTGATTTTGGACCGTTCACCAGGATATTTATTCATCTGTACGGACATTTTGCACATTTGGTTGCGTTATTCATCTTCAATACCTTTTGCAGTATTTATGCTTGTTCATTTATCTTTTGTCCATCTGTACACATATACACTTTTATAATGTGTTTTTTCTATTTTGAGAGTGGAGTATTGGGTTATATCACATATTTGCTTGTGAGAGTGCATGTGATCAGCATAGGGCCAATCAGCACTGTCCAGACAGAGGTCAGGATTCTGCATTCTCCCAGAGAAAACTCATCCTACAAGCTTTAACCAGTGCTCTGCTGGACACTGATAGAAGTCACAAGACTGCTCTAACTGTTGATGAGAAAGAGTATTTAGCAGTTTATATTTACTAAAATAATTGCATTTCCATGTTGTGTGTACTGTGGGAGACCAGATATAGTGAATGCAGGGTCCGGGGAGACCAGAAATACTGAGTGCAGGGTCCGGGGAGACCAGATATAGTGAATGCAGGGTCCGGGGAGACCAGAAATACTGAGTGCAGGGTCCGGGGAGACCAGATATAGTGAATGCAGGGTCCGGGGAGACCAGATATAGTGAATGCAGGGTCCGGGGAGACCAGATATAGTGAATGCAGGGTCCGGGGTGACCAGACATAGTGAATGCAGGGTCCGGGGAGACCAGATATAGTGAATGCAGGGTTCGGGGAGACCAGACATAGTGAATGCAGGGTCCGGGGAGACCAGACATAGTGAATGCGGGCTCCGGGGAGACCAGATATAGTGAATGCAGGGTCCGGGGAGACCAGATATAGTGAATGCGGGGTCCGGGGAGACCAGATATAGTGAATGCAGGGTCCGGGGAGATCAGATATAGTGAATGCGGGGTCCGGGGAGGCCGGTCATTTTCCGGATATAGTGAATGCAGGGTCCGGGGAGACCAGATATAGTGAATGCGGGGTCCAGGGAGACCGGATATAGTGAATGCAGGGTCCGGGGCGACCAGATATAGTGAATGCGGGGTCCTGGGAGACCGGATATAGTGAATGCAGGGTCCGGGGGAGACCAGATATAGTGAATGCAGGGTCCGGGGAGACCAGATACAGTGAATGCAGGGTCCAGGGAGATCAGATATAGTGAATGCAGGGTCCTGGGAGACCAGATATAGTGAATGCAGGGTCCAGGGAGATCAGATACAGTGAATGCAGGGTCCAGGGAGATCAGATATAGTGAATGCAGGGTCCTGGGAGACCAGATATAGTGAATGCAGGGTCCAGGGAGATCAGATATAGTGAATGCAGGGTGCGAGGTTTAGTAACAGTTTAAAGGTATTTGCACAGCAAATTTTTAAATAAACAGACCCCCTATATAGACCTGTACAACTAACCTGTGCTCACTATACAGCAGGATGATCTTTTGACACACTGGACCCGCTTTAGTGGTCAATCATGCTTGGGCTTATGCAAGAATCTAAATATCCAGTTCACACTCAGTCCTCATGCACACGAGACATTTTTACAGCGGCCGTTTTTGGCTTTTGACGTTTTTTCCTACAGCCAGTAAACCCCCCAGCATGTTATCCTAGGTGTCCATGCACACAGACTGTAATCAATGTTTTTTGGCTGGAAAAAAAACCCAGGACTAATGGGTTTCTAGAGGAATTTTTAGCTGTAAAAACGCTTTAATGCTGAAAAATGCGGCAAAATGCAGTAAATCGCCGCAAACCAGTGTTTTTGGACTTTTTTTGACCCCCCCAAAATTTTTTTGGGTCAAATAAAACTCTAAAAAACACAAAAGCGAAAAAACGGGGAAAAATGTCGCTAAACGCTAATGCAGAAATGCTAAAAAACTCACATTTTTAATGTGACTTTGCACAGCTAATGTTACCAGTGTTATTAAAACACCCCGTGTGCATGGAGCCTAACTGTGGGGGCAATACTGAGAGATTTATATTTTGTTTTTTATTTAACTAAATTTATTTGAGCCCATGTCTTGGAGCTGAAAGTTGGAGCTGACAGTTTCTGCCCTGTCAATTGCTTAAAGCTGATAATATATACTGTCTTCCGGCTACTGAGTGTGCATAGGAGTACAAAATAATACAGCCTCATACAGTGCCTTAAAAAAGTCTTCATACCCCTTGAAATTTTCCACATTTTCTCATGTTACAACAAAAAACGCAAATGTACTTTATTGGGATTTGATGTGATAGACCAACACAAAGTGGCACATAATTGTGAAGTGGAAGGAAAAAGTTAAATGGTTTTCAACATTATTTACACATAAATTTGTGAAAAGTGTGGCGGCATTTGTATTCAGCCCCCGGAGCCAATACTTTGCAGGACCCCCTTTCACTGCAATTCCAGCTGCTTTTTGGGGATGTCTCTACCAGCTTTGCACATCTAGAGAGGGACATTTCTGCCCATTCTTCTTTGCAGAATCGCTCAAGCTCTGTCAGATTGGATGGAGAGCGTCTGTGAACAGCAATTTTCAAGTCTTGTCACAGATTCTCCATTGGATTTAGGTCTGGACTGTGACTGGGCCATTCTAACACATAAATATGCTTTGATATAAACCATTCAATTGTAGCTCGGGCTGAATGTTTCAAGTCGTTTTCCTGCTGGAAGGTGAACCTCCCCCCCAGTCTCAAGTCTTTTGCAGACTCTAACAGGTTTTCTTCTAAGATAGGGCAATAGGGTCAGAGTTGATGGGAAGATAGATGGAGTCAAATACAGGGCAGTATTTGGCTCCATCTATCTTCCCATCAACTCTGACCAGCTTCCCTGTCCCTGCTGAAGAAAAGCATCCCCACAACATGATGCTGCCACCACCATGTTTCACGGTGGGGATGCTGTGTTCAGGGTGATGTGCAGTGTAAGTTTTCCGCCACACATAGTGTTTTGCTTTCAGGCCATAAAGTCCCATTTTGGTCTCATCTGACCAGATCATCTTCTTCCACATTTGCTGTTTCCCCCACATGGCTTCTCACAAACTGCAAACAGGACTTCTTATGGCTTTCCTTCAACAATGGCTTTCTTCTTCCTCTCTTCCATAAAGGCCAGATTTGTGGAGTGCACGACTAATAGTTGTCCTGTGGAGAGATTCTCCCACCTGAGCTTTGGATCTCTGCAGCTCCTCCAGAGTTCCCATGGGCCTCTTGGCTGCTTCTCTGATGAATGCTCTCCTTGCCCGGCCTGTCAGTTTAGGTGGACGGCCATGTCTTGGTAGGTTTGCATTTCTGCCATACTCTTTCCATTTCCAGATGATGAACTGAACAGTACCACGTGAGATGTTCAAAGCTTGGGATATTTGTTTATAACCTAACTCTGCTTTTAAACGACTCCACAACTTTATCCCTGACCTGTCTGGTGTGTTCCTTGGCCTTCATGATGCTGTTTGTTCACTAATGTTCTCTAATAAACCTCTGAGGGCTTCACAGAACAACTGTATTTATACTGAGATTATATTACACACAGGTGGACTATATTTACTAATTAGGTGACTTCTGAAGGCAATTGGTTCCACTAGATTTTATTAGGGGTATCAGAGTAAAGGGGGCTGAATACAAATGCCGCCACACTTTTCAGATATTTGTAAAAGAATTTCA